ACATTTAACGGCGGACAACAGACATTTAATTTTTTGATCAAAATTATTGCTAGGAACAATTTAGTAGTCGCTAGATATTGGTAGGTACATGTCATAGCATCTCTACTAAATTCTACACCCTTGTATAATAAATGTTTACAATACAATCTTATATATCATAATTCCATAATTATTAATATCATTTGTTTATAATATAAATGTCATGTTTCATAATTACTTGATTTCCAAGTAATTATTATTATATTTTGAATTATTTGTTTAGAATAGAATCCCATATTTCATAATTACTCCGTCATTAATTGATTTTTATATTATTTTGATACTATTTCCTAATTAATTTCTAGTAGTATTAATATATTTGTACATTAATTAATTATATTTCACATTTCATAATCTCTGAACAATTATTAATATATATTTTATATTGTTTCTATAATATAATCCCATATTTAATAATTACTTGATTTCCAAATAATTATAAATTATTTTTATATTATTTATTTTATAGTATAATTCCATACTTCATAATATTTAATATATAATAGATTTTGAATAATGCAATCTCTTATTTCAAAATTACTTTCCAAGTCAGCAAGTGGTAAAATAATTTTGAGCGCACCGTGAATAAATACTGTGGAGCTACAGGAAAAATCACATCTTCTTCTTTTTTTTTTTCTCTCTGGATTATCTGCTTGTCCAACTAAAGTAAGACAGGGATGGGATGGAAGGGGAGACACAAGTGTCATTTTCTTTAGTAGTAGTGAATACATTTCACACTTGACCTGTAATTGTCTTGCTAAAAGCTTCAGGAGCTTTAACCCATGATATAAATACAGATCTGACTGATCATGTGACTTCTGCCATAAAACCTTCATCCTACTGCATGTTCTTTGTGTGTTAAAAGAGAAGGAACCCATGGCTGGATGCACAAGATTCACTCTACAATGCCACAAATGCATTCATATGCTGCCTCAAAACCAAAAGAAAAAAATAATAAATTATATTTTGAATAACACAAATGAAGCCTACATTCATATTTATTGCATTGTACCATTATTTTTGTGACAATTAAGCATATTTTCCCATGTAAAGCTGGTGTGTGTGTGTTGCTCTTGTCCGTGTCTTTGTGAATAATTAGGAGTTTTCAGTTGTTCAATGCCACACTGAGCGTCTTTGTCATCCGCCGTCTTTGATTATGTCGCCGCTGAGGAATCCCGTGGAATGTGGCGGAATGCTGCGGGAATCCAGGAATCATTCCAGACCGTCTGAGCGTTAACTCTTTCAGGACAGTACAGAGAGAGGGAGAGGATGTTAGAACTAGATTTTAAACCTTTTTATTTTATGAACACAATTTTAAACACATTAGAAGTGCTTGAGCATGCATGTCTCACCACCACAATGCTAATGGTTGCTATGCAATTTTGAATGTTATTACAGCATGCATGTTGCATGGGTGTTCTAATTGGCTCCTATGGTGTTGCAAGGTGGTTGCTAGGGTGTTCTGAGTGGTTTTGAGTGTCTTGAGTCTTCTTTGAGGGTCTTGAGTGGTGCATTCTTTAGTGGTTACTAGGATATTGCTATGATGTTGCTAAGGTGTTCCTAGGTGCGTTGCTAGTGCATTGCTTAATGGTTGCCAGAGCAAGTTGCTATGATGATGCTAATTTGTTTTTAAGTGCATTGCTATGTGATTACTAAATGTTCTGGTTGCTAGGGTGTTTTGAGTGGTTTTCAGTGCATTGTTAATGGTTTCTAGGGTGTTGCTAAGGTGTTGCTATGTAGTTACTACAATGTTCTGGTTTCTAGGGCATTCTGAGTGGTTTTCAGTGCATTGCTTAGTGGTTGCCATGGTGTTGCTATGATGTTTCTAAGGCTTTCTTAGGTGCATTACTATGTGGTTACTAAATGTTCTGGTTGCTAGGGTGTTGCTATGATGTTGCTAAGGTGTTCTCAGATGCATTGCTATGTGGTTACTAAAATATTCTGGTTGCTATGGCATTCTGAGGGGTTTTCAGTGCATTGCTTAATGGTTGCTAGGGTGCTGCTAAGGTGTTGCTATGCAGTTACTAAAATGTTCTGGTTGCTAGGGTGTTCTGAGTGGTTTTCAATGCCTTGCTTAATGGTTGCTAGGGTGTTGCTATGCGGTTACTAAAATGTTCTGGTTTCTAGGGCATTCTGAGTGGTTTTCAGTGCATTGCTTGGTGGTTGCCAGGGTGTTGCTATGATGTTTCTAAGGCTTTCCTAGGTGCATTAATATGTAGTTGTTAAAATATTCTGGTTGCTAGGGCATTCTGAGTGGTTTTCAGTCCATTGTTTAATGGTTGCCAGGGTGTTGCTGTGATGTTGCCAAGGTGTTGCTATGCGGTTACTAACATGTTCTGTTGCTATGGCGTTGCTATTATTTTGTTAAGGTGTTCTTAGTTGCATTGCTTAACGGTTGCCAGGGTGTTGCTATGATGTTGCTGTGTGCTTACTAAAATGTTCTGGATGCTAGGGTATTCTCTTCAGTTTTCAGTGCTTTGCTTAATGGTTGCCAGGATGTTGCTAAGGTGTGCTATGGGGTTACTAAAATGTTCTGTTGCTACACTCTAAAAAATGCTGGGTTGTTTCAACCCAACTTTGGGTCAAATATGGACTAACCCAACTTTTGGGTTAAAAATTTAATGTAAAAATTTAACCCAACGGTTGGGTTAGTCCATATTTGACCCAATGTTGGGTTGAAATAACCCAGCATTTTTTAGAGTGTAGGCCGTTCTGAGTGGTTTTTAGTGCATTGTTTAATGGTTGCTAGGATGTTGTTATGCAGTTACTAAAATGGTTGCTAGGTGTTCTTAGTGGTTGCTAGGCTTAAGTAAAACGAGATAGATTTAAGGAATTTTTCATGTCTGAAGCATAAACACTGTGGTATGTTTAATACTTAGTGTTGGAACTGTAAGTATGAGTAAACACCATTAAAAATTACATGTGCAACTCTTAGATAAAACACTTATTGGATGTGTTGTCCATTAGTGCAGCCGTGCGAATGTGTGTTTAGCACAAAGGGAGAATATAAACAGGCTGTTTCCTGTACAAACACATTTAGATAAACTCGGAGTGTGTGTGTGTATGTGTGTGTGTGAGAGAGCGAGAGAGAAATACAAAGACATAAAGATAAACATCAGGATGTACACTAGAGTTTCTGTGTCAACACTATGTACACTGGTCCTGGTTACCCACAACACCTCACACACACACAGCGTCCCTCAGGAGGTAAATCGCGACACACCCTGAGCTCAGAACTGGACCGGGCCGGGAAAGCAGGCACAGTCTGGATCAGATCAGCTTTATTACTCTCACTCAGGCCTAGACCTGAATTCTGCGGGGTGTTCCCCAAACTAGGCACAAAATACATGTGAGAACCTGCCACATACAGTCAAGTCTGTTTACCCTCAGTGTTATGGATGATTTCATCTCTTGTGTTCTCCTGAAATCTGTATTTAGATTTAGATTAAATGTTTACTCACTGACACTTTATGAATTAATAGTCTAATCTAATTGTCAATGCTTCCATTTAGTAAAAAAAGTTTGAATTGCATGAGATTTATGCTTTAAGGGAATGTTTACATGACCAAAGCAATGCATTTTGTGCATCGAAATTCTTGGATTTTGTAAGTTATTCGCATTTTAATTGTTTGTTTCCATATGTTGTTTACATATAATATGCTTTGTTTAAGTCCTCTTTGGAAATTACTATTACAAATTCAGAAATTGCAAATCTGTATGCATTAAGAACCCAAATGACATCTAAGAAAATGTGCAATATAAAACATAATATCCCACAATGCATTGCGCTCACAACTTGACCGTCCATTTCCAGTGACAAACGAGCAGTACTGTAATTTTAACATCAAGAAATTTTACATAGAATTAAAAATGCTAAATAATCTAATCCTTATCTAATTATTAGATATGTTTTCTTCTTCTTTTTCAAATAAAAAAATATTGCTTTCAAACTTGAACAGAAAATTGCAGGCCAACCGCAAATTCTGAGATGACCATTTTTGTAAATAAATATTTTGAAACAAATATTGCATTCAAACTGTAATTACAGGCCAACATGTGCACAGATGATATATTTAATAAATATTGTTAAATAAATTATTATACTCAAACTCTAACAGAACATTGCAGGCCAACATGTGAATTCTGAGTTGATAGTTTTCCCTTTTTAATAAATATTACATTTAAACTGTAGCAGAACAATGCGGGCTAAAATTAAACACACGTGATGAGGTCATATGACAAGCGTACTGCTGTTTGAAACGTTTATCTTCACGTACTATTTAAAAAGTAGTAGGCAGCAGTATACAGTGCAGTAACTAGTGAGTTTTTATTCCATAGCAAACACTTCCAATAATTCAGATCCCAGAGCGGAAATGTCCGCATCTGATAAGGTGCAATTGTTCACGAGGAAGCCCTTAAGTAAGCACTTATTAAATTATATTTCTTCCCATTAGACTTGATAAACACTCTTATAATTCACTGAGAAAGAGTTTGAACGCTGAATTCAAGTCATGGCCTGCAGTTTGCTGAAAGCTTGAATCCCGTGCGTAACGCCGCCACGTTTGTTGTTTCTCCTCAGGGAAACTCAACACTTTCCTTGCGGCGAAACAAACAGGGAAAGAGTGGCAGCGTTACGCACCGAGGGAAAGTATTCCCGCAAACACTCAGTAAAACGCGCCCCACGGGCGTTATTTCCTCGTCCTGACTGGATGAAGGGGGTCCAGCCCTCATGGGCTTCCTTTCTTTCTCCTTCCATCTCTCAGCAGCGCACCAACCCGATCTT